ATTTTAAACTATAATGGTAAATTTTTGAAAACCCAGAAACATGTAGCTGATCAGGGCAGGAAAGCTTTATTCTCTGTATTAAGAGTATGTAATGATAACTTTTTTAACATTGAAACTAAATTGTCAGTATTTGATACTTATGTCGGAAGCATTTTATCATATGGTGCAGAAATATGGGGATTTCATAAAGCCGCTAATGTGGAGAAAGTTCAATCAAATTTTTATAAGCGAATATTAGGAGTTAGACAAACAACTATACACAGTATGATTTATTTTGAATTAGGTCGATTACCCTTACATGTAATGAGAAAAATTAGAATTTTTAAATATTGGACAAAACTACTAAATACTGATAATAAGATTTTAAAATGTTGTTTACAGGACCAGGTATCTAATAAAAGTCAATGGATTACAAATATAAGGAATGAATTATTTCAAATAGGTCTAGGCTATATTTGGGAAAATAGAGAATTCTGTAACTCATCATATTTCAAATCCATTAAGCATAGAATTTTAGATATTTTTAAACAATTATGTATAGAACATATTTGTAATTCATCAAAGGGTTTCTTTTATCAGCATTACATTTCAAATTTTAACTTGCAATATTATTTGTCCAAATCCATTCCATATAAATATGCTAATAATATTTCAAAAATCCGTTTATCTGCCCATAACTTATTTATAGAAACCGGTAGATACAACAGTGTTGCTAAAAATAAAAGGTTTTGTAAATTTTGCGATAATGATGATGTTGAAGATGAGTACCATTTTGTATTAATATGTAAAAAATATAAAGATATGAAACGAATATCTTTATATTTATATTAAGCCATATTATAGAATTAATCCAAGTGTATATAAATTTATTCAACTTCTGACTGTACATAATATTAAGGAATTGACAAACCTAGGAAAATATCTATCAATAGCTTTTGAATTGAGAAATAAATCTCTCCAAAATCTAACGATATAAATTGACATCTTAAATACTTGTAAAAAAAAAAGGAAATTGTCTACTCTCCCGAAAATAACAACCTTGTAAATAATTTCACATTTGCATGTATATATGTTCTGTATATTGTACTGTATCTGATGGGCATGTATGAACTATAAATCACTGTCTGATTTTTCGTTCATATGTCAAAGGGTCGAAGGTGTAGATATAAGTTTATGGAACCATTTCTACACTGAAGGTGCAAGAACAACCAAAAATATGTTGAAGGTTGGCATTCAAAGTTAAAGAAAGTATCGTCAAACCATCCGAATATTTTTAGATTCATAGAACTACGTCAGAACAGGGTTACACAGAGATACAAATTTTACAATATGGAAATGGAGGCGTTTCAGTCCAAAGAAAAGAAAATACATAGAATTAAACAGAAGAATACATGATGAAAAACAAAGATTATGAACTGGTTTGACGACTTTATATGAATATGGAAATTCGATATCACATTAAGTCGGATTATAAATATACATGTAAAATACTAAATTTGTTAATAAAATAACTTGTATATAAAGTAGTTAATATTGATATGAAAAATATATATGTACATGCTAAATTTGTTAATAAAATAAATTTTATGTAAAGTGGTTAATATTGATATGAAATGAAATAAAATGAAATGGGGTTGAACGTCCTACTGTTCTGCTCCTAACCTGGGCTAATGAAGATGGGCATACGCCATACAGTGTGCTATGAGGGAAATTTTGCCCGGACAGCGGCACTACGGCCTACTCTTATATCGAATTCCAAGTGCCAAGGGATCTTTTACGTGCACGCCATTGTATACACGGGACCTCGGTTTTTCGTCCCATCCGAAAGACTAGACAGCTTTCCTTGTCAGCCCCTCCGTCCTGCATCACTGACAAGGGAGAACCACGCCGGAAAATCTGGATGAACTTTCTCGGCCAATGCAGGGATCGAACACCCGACCTCCAGGCTAGCGAGCTAGCGTCTTACCCACTTAGCCACGTGATCCCCAATGTTGATATGAAAAAGACTATAGTTTTAACACCATTGTTACCCTAATTAGTACTGGTCCAATGATTTTACCTGGAAAACAATAGCCGCTGGGAAAGTGAGAACACCCCGTAAGGTGGAACTGCATGCTTTCTGATATGGTTAGGTTATTTGAGCCTAAAAATGTGCCTGCATGCGACGATGGGGGTACGGTAAAGGAAGTAATCGAACACCCGACCTCCAGGCTAGCGAGCCAGCGTCTTAGCCACTTGGCCACCGTGATCCCCTTTCTTTGATCTGTTATATCATGGACCGTATATGGTTAAATCACAGGGTAATTCTGTTATTGACTTTCCACTGTAACCGATGTAAATTCAGTGAAATGCATCTTGACACTTTTTTTTCTTCTTAATATTTTAACAGAATGTGGTATATTTTAAATGTTTCATATTCATGTAACAATGCATACATTTCGCTTTTTGTTATTAAATCATCGTAGCTAATTCAATTTCGGTGAACTTATCTAAAATCATAATGACATATTAACTAACAATACGAATATACTTTACTACAAAAACATCGGTGAACTGACCTAAAATCTAAAATCATAACGCCAATTAACAAACAATACGATGAACTGACCCACATCTGCTAAATTGGGCCTTTTCGACTTTACCAGTCTACCTACCTGCACATATGTAGTACCAGTGAATATGTGATAGCATTTTAAAAACCCTCGTTCCAGTCTATATTTGGTTAGTATATATTTCAGAATTTTAGTCAATGACACAGACCACATTAATTTTACAAAATTAAAAAATGCCGGAACCTACAATTACCCTAGCCTAAACTAATAAATTCATTGATCGCCACAAAATTATCTAAAATATACTATTTATTTATGTTGTGTAACAATTTAAATTTAATTCTAAGCAGAAGCCCTACTGAAAATTCTGTTCACTGTAAGAGTGTAAGCCTACAGGTAGATGCTGCATGACTACCGTTTCATTTTTCAATTTATCAGTATGAGTATGAGAATTGAGATTGAGCTTGTTTAAAGAGTGCGAGTTCTTTTTAGGTAGTGGCTATTTGCCACATGTGGTAAGCAAGAATTTCAAAATAGCCTTACGACTACAGACCGCAATTGTTACCCGATTTTAATGACACTTACAGATTATGATAACATCGATAACATCTCCGAGTAGCAAAACTTCCGACCACTTCCGGTTGGCGGTTTCCGAGATATGGGGGTTACCACACATTTCATGTGGCACGGCTACAGACCGCAATTATGAACCGATATCCATGAAACTTACAGAATATGATAACATTAATAATATCTCAGAGTAGCCAAAATCTCGACCACTTCCGGTTAGAAGTTTCGGAGATATCAGGTTACCACACATTTCATGTGGCACGGCTACAGACCGCAATTACCAACCGATTTCAATGAAACTTGCACATTATAATTACATTAATAATACCTCAGAGTAGGCAAAATTTCGGCCACTTCCGGTTAGCGGTTTTCGAGATATCATGTTACCACACATTTCATGTGGCACGGCTACAGACTGCAAATACCAACCCATTTCAATGAAACTTGCAGATTATAATTACATTAATAATATCTCAGAGTAGGCAAAATTTCGACCACTTCCGATTAGCGGTTTCGGATTATCAGGTTACCACACATTTCATGTGGCACGGCTACAGACCGCAATTACCAACCGATTTCAATGAAACTTGCAGATTATAATTACATTAATAATATCTCAGAGTAGGCAAAATTTCGACCACTTTCGGTTAGCGGTTTCGGATTATCAGGTTACCACACATTTCATGTGGCACGGCTACAGACCGCAATTACCAACCGATTTCAACGAAACTTGCAGATTATAATTACATTAATAATACCTCAGAGTAGGCAAAATTTCGACCACTTCCGGTTATCGGTTTCCGAGATATCAGGTTACCACACATTTCATGTGGCACGAATAACGAATAACGATTCAACTTAGCACTGCCTACTATCGTCCAGTCATCTCGTGCACGGATTAGTACAATTAACTGAAAAAGGCGCTATTGCACATTCGTACCTCTACCAGTTCCCGTGGTCGTAGGCACTTAATTTCTAACGAGAGAGAACTTCATCCGTTTGACGCCATTTGCTTTGTTTACTATTTAGACTCGAATAACAAGACACTAAGACGGAAACCGACACACTGCACTAGCTGCCTAACACTGCAGTTCATAAAAATTAATATAATTTTCGTATACTTTAATTTTTGCGCGAAGCCACCATTTTCTATAAAATACTATTTGGTGTTGATCAGTGGACTGGCCTTTAGGTGTGAATATTGCCGTGACCTTGATTTCGACCTTGAGTCCAAACTTCCCATCCATATCGGGGCCTTTGCGTTTATGCTTGCCGTGGCCTTATTAAAATGTATTATCAGTCTCTGCTTTCACCTCGAACATTAAAATGTTCGAGGTGAAAGCAGAGACGACGTCCTTCAGAAAAGATAATTGGTTCAAAGTCGTAGGCCAAGGTCATCTTACAGAAAACTAAACTCAAACTTTTCAAAGTCATTTTTGGGACATTTGACCTTGACTTACGACCTTGACCCTGTAACCATTTTCGAAGGCTATCACCTTGGCTTGAATCATGGACGTTTACCTTGGTCCTGTCGCACACTGCTCGGTCAGAAAACGGTCAAACGCAGAGGGCCCGTGTCCGAAAGGAATTCAATGGGCGTGTTCGTCGAGTCTGTGCAGAAATCAAAATAGTTATTAGGGGCCCGTATGCATTATACATTTAAAATAAATTAGTTTTGTGGGAGGAATTAATTCAAAATATAAATAAATACAACTGGGTTGGGTTGGGGGGGGGGGGGGATTTCGATTTTCTCAAAGTGAATTCCGGTGATTTTCGGTGTTTAAAGTAATTTATCATTAATGCAAAATATTAGTAAATAGGATTGTCTTAAGTGCGTATTCTTTGTATATATGTTTTCAATGTGACCCCCCCCCCCTATGTCAGCTTCTGGATCCGTACAGCTTTTTTGCATGGCGATCTTGTTGACTTTTTGTTTTAGAATCAAAGACAATGGTTTGAATATACATTTTCTGCCAGGTTTTGGTGAATATTCATGATTTTGTAGCTGAAGGATACGAGAGTTAGGTTGGTTATGTTGAAATGTAGGACGGAAAATTTCCCGTTTGTAAGATCTCTACTTCCAGTTTGTATATCTCAAGTTTTCCATGATGAACCTCATACGTGCTTTTAAGGAAGAGGTTGTCACATATTGCTCCATCTGTGGTAGAAAGCGTTCTATCCAACAAAAATGTGGGCAAATATTAGAGCCGGTTTAAGAGACGGGGATTAAGTCAACGGGGAATACGTTGTTGATCTGTGACATTGGGGATGCTCGATTCACAGTCCAGAACGTCCCGAATTGACAGAATTGCAATCGAGTAACGCGGAATTCAGTTCTGTCACAGTTCTGTCAGTCCCAACAACGGGGGTGGTGTGAGTAGAATCGTGACGTAATTAAAAGGTTTCGGCTGCACGACGGGTTGGTTGAGATATTTACTTATTCAGTCAACGCATGCGCTGTAGCGCGAAATCCACCTTTTCACTCTTTTGTCACTGTTTTTGGAATTGAAGGAATTCAATTCCGGAACGTTCAATCGAGTACCCTCCATATTATGATCAAGGGGCGGTTACTCTAATTTACAAACGGAATCAGACCACAATTAATTTCCCCCGTGGACTATTTTCCCGAATCCAACTTTCTCCAAATTTCCGTTAGGCTGAACGCTTTTCACTACAGACGGAGCAACATGTCACAATCCTCTGGACTTGAAAGATGATTGCCATTCGTGTGTTTGCAAATAAAATAAAATACTGTGATATCTCTCCTGTGGAAGCAGACGTTTTTCTACCTTGACCTACCTAGTAACACTAATAGAGTAGCCCTACTACTGTCGTACTGAAAAGAAATTCTTCGAAACTTCCCAGTTGTTTTGTAACCATGAAGATTTGTGGACTATCAACTATTCTGAGATGTTTTCATCAGATGCCAAGACATTATTGTCAAAATAAAATTCAAATGAGACACCTTGCTAATAATAAAAGCTCAACAAAAAGAAAAGGTGTTCATACTACAAGAGTGCCAGCAGAAAAAGAGGATATGTCACTTATAAGGAACATAGGAATTTTGGCCCACATTGATGCTGGTAAAACTACCACTACAGAAAGAATGCTATATTATACAGGCTTGTCTACACATTTGGGTAAGTGCAATGAAATGAAATGGGGTTTAACTAGGCCTTATCACATTTGGAATTTACTTACAAAGATATTTGTAAATTGACCTTTATAACCCAAGAAATATGTATTTTTCTTACTAAAGCATATTTATGTATCAACCTTCAAATAACCAACCCAACTATAGGCCTATTGCAGGAACATAATATGTAAGTTTATATAGAAGTTGTGAATAAGAGGGTGGGGTTCCAAATCCTGACATAAAGTTCATGTCATATATTAACACAATGACAAGGGACAATTTTATGGACTCACAACTACTGAGTTTAATAGGATTGGTGGACGCTAGGGAATTGTGCTCTTTTATTCATATAAAGGGGACCCTTTGTTTCACCTACCTATTTTTCTTTGCAAGAGCATTATTTCATATGCATCCTTTGGGCTGGGGGGGGGGGGGGCGGTGCTGTGGTTTACCATTATAGCTTTTAATATATTCTGAATGATTCTGCCACTTGCGAAGGTGACATCTGTGCCCACATCTTGTTTGATCACTTTTCTAATCCGGTGTGAGATTTTGCCATGAAATGAAATAGTTAACCAGTTGGGTGGGGTACATGTAAGTGTTATTATTTATGAATCTGTACCTTAAATGTTCTAATTCAGTGGATATATTTTCTTTGTCACATATCTTGGTGGCTCGTTGGGTGAAAGTGGTGATGATAGACTTCTTAATTTGATGTGAATGATTTGATTTAATGTGAATGTATTGAACAGTGTGAGTTGTAGAGAATTTGTTGTCAGTTTTAGTCACTATGACATCAAGAAATGGGAGACTGTCATCCATTTTGGTTTGCATTGTGAATTTTATCCTGGTTTGTCGACTGTTCAGATAATGAAGTAGCGTTTCATGGTTGTCATTTTGATTGAGGATCACAAATATATCATCCACTTTCCTGTACCAGAAAAGTGGTTTGATTGGGGATGGCTGTTATGCATCTTTTTCAAAACTGGTCATAAATACTTCTGACAGTAGTGGAAACAGTGGGTTACCCATAGGTAGGCCATATATTTGTTGATAGTATTCGTCACCCCATCTAAAAAGTAGCAGTTATACAGAAGACGGTATAAGAATTTTGCTGTGTTGTAATATACTGAATCTCGGAACAAATCAATAAGCGAGCCTTGACGGGATTCTTATGAATATTAATGGTGGCACGTGTATGCCACAGTTTTTATCCGATTTGGATGAAACTTTAAATATATGTTTCTATCATAAAGATTTTGGTTCCTTTTGATAATCACACATATCTGAACATAACTTCCGAGATTATGGCCACTTATTGGTTGAAAAAATATCATTTTTAGCTTGTGGATTCTCTAGAGGTCACAATTTTGTTTCTGATTTTAAAAACCGTTAAGATATATCACCATTCCACCATAATGAAGGTTTAATTTGAATTTCAGGAAAATCAAACCGCCCGACAAAATGGCCGCTCTTTGCAGAGCCTCGTCTAAGGATTTGGTCGTGCGTGGCAATGTCGGGCGAAGCCCCACCCGCGAGCACCTCGGGTGTGACCCCGTGCAGTGGGTCTGCGGGGCCCTCCCCCAGAAAATTTTGAAAATTGACTCCCTTAGATTTGATTTCTGAGCACTTAAAAAATAGTTTCGGAGATTTGATACTCTATTAGTTTTGGCATCTTGTTAAACCATGGATTGATTAATACCCTGTAAAATCGAGATCAAAACACTGCTGCGGCTGACACATTATCACATCAAAGTAGGTATGTCATATAATTAAACCCTACTTGCTCAAGTATTGACATTTAAGTTTAAAGCTACACACTTGGAATATTAAAAGCTCAAATTTGCATTATCTACATCGTCCTACATCTACAGTCAGACAGTATTGTTTTTTTAGAAATTGTGGTCTGTCGTGAAAAACTTTTTCACAAAATCTCTGTCTTGATATAGTTCAGAATCGGGTAGTCTCATCCTTCGTTCATTTTTAGTGAGGAATGCGGAAACCGCTGGTCCGGGATTGAAGTTAACGGTTCCCACAGAGTTCAGACATAATGATAAAATCCAGTTCATTGTTTCTCTATTGAGGGATGAGCGTTTGTCCGACTTTATTTCAGTGTGTGATGAGATCACACGTTCGGTAATCATACTATGGGGGCATGTTACCAAATAGGTTTGCGTGAGCTTGTTTAATATACTTTTCTGGGTGGATTTTTTTAGTATTTTGTACAGCTTCGCAGTATCGCAATCATTACGTGAGAATGAACTTGAATTTGTCGCGAAATAACCAATACAATCATTCGCGAATTCATTGACCGATTGAACACCAAAAATATCCTCAACACATTCTCTACCAGAGGCAATCATATCACGTGCATTCATAGCGTTAGCGAACTCCACAATACCTTTAACTATGACCGATGCATCAGCAGCGACTCACTCTGACAAAAAGTTTTTCAACCCACTCACTAGTTTCATTCTTGATCACTTTTGCTTATATAGCAATTCAAGGTAGATCTTTTACCCGTACCTGTTGTTGTTGACTCATTCGCTTGGTTCTTCTCAGACCTATCACCTTTCGCAGCAATGATTTCCATGTGTTTCAGTATGAACGGTTGGTTACGAAGTACAGCTATGGCCAGATTGCGTCAGCGAATCGAACCTCATGATGTTTTGGGAAACAATGTGCTGATTAGTCACTTTGGCGCGTACACACATTCAAATCGTTGAGTCTGCTACCCGAAGCTCGATAATACCCAGCCAAACCCTTGAGATCTGATTTCCATCTTTTAAAGTTGAGGAAACAGGTGTACCAAGTCCTCTAGGACTAGATCAGACCTGTGGCCAATACACCAGACAGTAATAAATGAAATGAAATGAAATGGGGTTTAACGTCCTACTGTTCTCCTCCTATGCTGGGCTAATGAAGACGGGCATACGCCATACAGTGTGCTATGAGGGAAATTTTGCCCGGGCAGCGGCACTATTGCCTACTCTTATATCGAATTCCAACTGCCAAGGGATCGTTTACGTGCATTTTTCGGTTTTCCGTCTCATCCGAAGCACTAGACAGCTGTCCTTGTCAGGCCCTCTGTGCGTAGGGCTATGGCATGCACCCAAATATGCAACTTCCATGGTTAAATCGAGTGGATTTAGATACCTAGCTGTAATAAAGAAATTGCTCACAGAAAATTTGTCTGTGGATTTATCTATTTGTAATCCAGTACAGCAGCACTTTTCATAGCTTCTATTACTCTAGTCATTTCTAAATCTGAAACAACTTGCAACATTTCCCAATATGTATCCGGATTTCTGTATAACATCATTTGCGAGCTGGGGTTGAATTGAATGAAATCCGTATCCGGATTTTCCGTATACAAATTACGCAACTGTGTTTGCGCATGTAGGTGAGACATAGATCGAGAAGCCCATGACCATGCACTCAACATTTTGACTCTACAATCATTGTGCACAGTTATGGCTAATTTTGTGAGTTTCCACCACACATCGATCTGTTTCTTTTAGAATCTTCACCATTGGGTGTTTTGTAGATTTCTGTAGCCATAGTTTTCGTGCCTCTGCGACTCTGTTTACCTCTTCATGTGGGGCTCCTTTTAGATGATCAACTACCCATTTCAGAGCTTTCTTCTCTTCTGCTCGACAGCCGTCCGCCATTGGGTTTTGATGATTTTTGGCCATTCAAATCGCTTCGTTCTTGTGTTCACTGCATATTTGACACTTCAGACCTTTTTTCCAGCAATACGAACTTCCTCTAAACATTTATAATGCTCTACCAACCATCGATATCATTAGACGTATTGACAGGGACCGGTGGAATTGTATCAGCTCCATCAGTGCTATTAGTCTTTTGATTTTCGATAGTTAATTTACGTTTTTATACGCCTACATTGAAATGTGGTTGTATATTGTCGTCGCCCCCGTCTGTCCGTCCGTGGACACTCTAGAGGCTAAAGTTAACATCCGATTGACTTTAAATTTATATACAGTGTTTAAGGCCATGAAACGAAGAAGCCTATTGATTTTCGGCGATTTCCGATAATTACTGCCAGAGTTATGGCCCTTGATCACTTCAAAAAATCTTGTGGATGCTCTAGAGGCTAAAGTTAATATCCGATTGACTTTAAATTTATACACAGTGTTTAAGGTCATGAAACGAAGTGGCCTATTGATTTTCCGCAATTTCCGATAATTACTGCCAGAGTTATGGCCCTTGATCACTTAAAAAAATCTTGTGGACGCTCTACAGGTCAAAGTTAATATCCGATTGTCTTTAAATTTGTACACAGTGTTTAAGGTCATGAGACGATGAAGCCTATTGATTTTCAGTGATTTCAGATAATTACTGCCAGAGTTATGGCCCTTGATCACTTTGAAAAATCTTGTGGACGCTCTAGAGACTAAAGTTAATATCCGATTGACTTTAAATTTATACACAGTGTTTAAGGTCATGAGACAAAGAAGTTTATTCATTTTCAGCGATTTTCGATAATTACTGCCAGAGTTATGGCCCTTGATCACTTCAAAAAATCTTGTGCACCCTCTAAAGGCCAAAGTTAATATCCGATTGACTTTAAATTTATACACGGTGTTTAAGGTCATGAGACGAAGAAGCCTATTGATTTTCAGCGATTTTCGATAATTACTGCCAGAGATTAAGAGCTTGAGACGAACAAGTATATTGATTTTCAATGAATTATGACTTGAACAGGTAAATCCATGATATTTTTAAGTTTTGTATACTAAACGTTAGCATGGGGCAGAACTTTATAAAAACCAAACAAATTCTAATGGTTTTCTGATAATTACTACAACAGTTGTTACTCTTAATCAGATTTTAGTGTATTATAAATGTTTCATTACCGAAAGAAGTAAAAATATGCGACAACACTTGTTGACTGCCCGGACAATTTAGCTGCTGTGGGCGTATGTTTCGTTGCCTGGCAACCTATCTTTATCAGATTGAAAAATATTTCACCGTTACACCCAA